TACTACAAAAATCTCTTGAGAAAAAAAGACTGGTACCAGTGTTCCTCTAAATACAAACTGTAACTGCAGCTGATTGACTGACAGTGCTCGTCTTTTAATCCTTATGACTTCCTGTTCCAACTGGCATTAGTTAATTGCTCAGAGACTTCTCTTTTATGAAAGATTAACCATGTTTAGAGTATCTCATTTTTGGTTTTGTTTCATCACTGCAATACTTTTATATATTATATATTTTATATATATTTTTATTTCTTTGCTCATCTGCTTGGAAACAGAAGAAGAGTGTTCATTTCACACCTTAATAAGGCAATGTAGCCTTCACGTAAGTGAGCAACTGAAGATACCAATAGAGATTTCAATTAAAGCTACCTGGCTATCTAATGCAAGTCTTGAAACTTAACTGTGGGGGAAAAGGAAAGAAATATGTCTCCAAAACCCTTGGCCACAGAAGAGCAGGCTGTATGCTTCTGCTGAATCTAGTCAAGTCAATTGAGGTTTTTTTAGGAGACAAATCCTTTAAAAAGGAATCCTTGGAAGTCAATCAGACCTCACTTTATGAAGGTCAGCGTTTGGAACATATTTCTTCACGAGCTCAATGTTTATGTTTACATAGAAAGGAGAGTTTGATGTCTAACTACCCTACAAACAAAGCTGCATATTGCATTGTTAGCCAACCTGGGAGGTAAAAATTCCAAGCTCCTGTGTCAAGAAAAAAGCACAACAGCTCCAACCCTTACAGAACACCCAAGTGCACCGTAAGTTGATGCACACGGTAGTTTACAAGGGTATAGTTGGTTTTGAAACTCATTACATTCAAACAGAGCTACTTAAATTGTCTGCCTTAAGATGTGTTTTCCATAATCGATTATACCCCAGCTTGCCTAAGACCAACTATTCAAACAATCCCTTCCTATGGTACAACTGACTGGGATTTTTTCCTAGATCGTGGACATTTGAAATATTTAGCAACTGTTTGGTTTACCAATGCAATAGAAGTCTCGACCTGAAACATGCAGCTCACTGAATGAATGCATTAGACTCAATATATGGTATCTTCAGGTGTACGTTGGGGTGCTTTACCAAGTTGTTTTGGTTTTGTTTTGTTTTTGGTTTTTTTTTTTTTTTCCATTAGAATTAGACCTTGATTTAAAATCAAAGTCGGCTTGAAGCCCCTTTGCTTTAACTCACTGTTGCACAACAAGCCAGTAAATTGCTGATGTTTTAACTCCAAGCTAACAGGACTCCCTCCAGCATGGATTCTACTATGAAAATATCATCTTAATTGATAGTAACCCATCTTGCCAGCTGGGCACTGTAGTTAGGATAGGCTGAGTATAAGCAATTTTAGTATTTTCATCCAAGTGCTTTTGATGATTGAAAATAAAAAAAAAAAATAGCTGTTCAAAATATTTAGGAATGCTGTCATTTAACAACCTCATAGCTGCAGCATACACATCAAGCAGTCAGGGTCTTTAAGCTTTCTTTGATTGCAATTAAGGTTCATTTTAGCTTTTTCTTTTTCCTTTTTTTTCTTTCCTTTTTTACTTTTTTTTTAAGCCAGTGTGCCATCTTCTCTAATCTGTACATAAGGTTTGCTAGCCAATTTTAAAGAAAAGGCATTTAAAGGACATTAAAAAGTAAGTGAACATGTAGCATTTCAAGTAATTTCTTCTGAAAAGAGTTTGGCTTCTATAGATTGTTGATCTGTAGTAATTAACACATTTATTTTTCTTAAATCTGTAGCTAAAAATATCCCTCTCCATTTTAGTACTATCTGAGTACTGAAATGCAAAACCAAAGCCACTTTTGAGGCTTTTGTGGCCAGAATTCTGGCAAGACAAGTGTGTCCAACTTTTCCTTTAAAAAGGTACAACCAAACCAGGGCTCTATTGGCTGGTTTTCAATTGTTCTACAGTTTTTTTCCCCCCCTCTTCTAAATTTATGCATCTTCCATAAGCCCGAGCAGTATTTTAAGCCACAGAGAAGAAAGGAACCAGCCCTTTCGCTTAAGTGGGTAAATGGGACAAAGTGATGTTACCAACTTTCTTGATTGCTGACAGCTTTGAAGCTTTTCAAACATTCAATAAATTATAACAATGTACCTAATAGGTTCCTCCTGAGAATACAGGTACATCCCGGAGAGCACCATCCCCCACAGTCCATCTCCATCCCGGGTCACCTCCGTCACCTGTGGGTTCTGGTAGTCCCGGGAGAGGCAGGGATATGTCCTCGAAAAAGAAAAAGGGGCTGCTTTCCAAAGGCAAGAAACTGCTGAAAAAGCTTGGTGCAGTGAAATGATTCATGTGCTCCTGGACAACTTGTAAAGCTTCCAGTCTGTGTATTTTAATTTTTTATTTTAAAAATTTTCTTTTCTTTTTTTTTTTTTTTTTAAATCAAAACTAGGGCTTTCATGACTATGCAGTACAACTTTACCAAAACTTCTGCATTTTTAAACTCTGACATCAATAGAATCATGTGAATTGCTTAATCAAAACAGCAAGAGTGGATGTGTTGTTGCAAAAACTTTTTTAAAAAAATATATATAAAAAAAAATTTGTGGGCTTAAGACCAGAAGAACATGGTTTTATTTGAAGTCAACTCACCACCTGCAACTCCTTTGGGAAAAATCTCAGCCTTTAGCCTCCTTTAACCATGAGTGGTGGGGAGAAAACTCTGGTCCTCGATTCCTAGTTTGGAGAGATCACCCCACTGCATCTAATCATTAACAAAAATGGTCTTGAAACTCCTAGTTTAATCAGCCTTGATGTTTTGCCTTATTAATGCACAATGATTTGTACTGTCTAATAAATATACAGCGTATACTTTGTATGTACTGTGTATTCAACTGTCTTCATCTTCCCTAAAACATGGTAATTTAAGATCAAGTACTATGTTACTGACTCCATTCACTGTCTGATGTAACTCCTGGGAGTTTGAAAGTGCTGTGCTAAATGCTTTTTTTTTTTTAATTTTTTTTTTTCAGTTTTTGCTTCTTTATTTCCTCCCCCCTCCCCCTAAAAACCAAAACCGCATATTGATTTATTCTGTCAACATTTTCACTCCACTGAAATCAGACACAGTGTAAGTTATTCAGAACCTCACCCAGTTTCAAACCATTCAACCTCCAGTTTTGGGGTTCCTGGTTTACTGTTCTAAGCTACTGGGGAAAAAAAAACAAAAACAAACAAAAAAAATTAACAAACCAACTCCACACCAAAACCCCTTTACTCCCCAGTTTGTTTGTTTGTTTGTTTTTTTCTGTGGAGGTCCAGTTCTAAGTTAAAAGGCATTTTCATATTGCTGATGTCAGATTCAGGATAAAGTACATGTTTTAAGTAAAAAGGACAAGCTGTGTTGCAGTCACAGGCCACAGCCAGTAACGAGGCTGCAAGAGGCTCTAATCAAATCTTAATTGTGATATTGGCATATCAAGACAAACAATCTTACACACTGATGGCAGTCATTGGCTGTTACTATTTTGTAATTCTTGTCCATTTGTAAATTGTTTTTACTGTTTATACATACTTTTCAGACTGCCTTTCTTTTTGTAATTTATGGAAGGTTTATAAATGAATGATCAAAGCTTCCCCATTGTGTCTTCAGATAATAATGTAAATTACTGTAAGATACTGTGTGCTAGATTACAACATTTAATTAAAGAAAATAACTGGCCTAAAATTGTGGTAAAGTACTGTGTGGGTGTGTGCATGTGTACAATTGTTGTGTATTATATTTTCTATAAATAAATCATTTGATATTTTGTAGAGTGCAGTATGTTTCCTAAATCCACAGCTGCTTGGCTGCTGTGCCAGCTCCCTGTCCCTCCCTCCTGGCCCAGGGAGGTGCCCAGGGCAAGCACAGGGCCATGGTGCAAGGCACCCATTCCAACACTGCACCCAGGGGAGAAAGAACAGCCCCCAGTGACCATCTCCTGCCTTTCTGCAGCTGCACAAGGCCCTTCTCTCTTGACCTCAAATGATAAAAAACAGATCAGAATGAATATCTGCGACAGGGGTAAATAAGTGGTATAGGGCCGGCAAGAAATACAAAATACTCAGCAGTGGATAGGGCAGGCTACCACTGTATGACACCAGAAACACCAAACTATTTGCCAAAAAAAACCCCTCTGCATCTCTTCACTACAAATTTCATGTGGAAGAAGTTGGCAGAGTTCTCTCAGCCTAAGAAAGGAAAAAAACTCAATTGAATACAAGTTACAGAACTCTCATTTTTCAGAACTGTCAACGGTTAATTCACTGTAGAATAAGAAAGGCTCATCTACATGCAAGACAGAAGAGCTTTTCAGAGATAAAAAGGGGTTGCAAAGTTACTGTGACAATTGTCACATCTGTGCCCAAAGCCCACTGTTGAAGCACATTAAGCAAATACATAAACAAGCAAGGAATTACAGCAACAACTTTATTTAAGTCTCACAAAGAACAAGAACAAGCTTCACAACAACTTAGTTAGGAAAACCAGCACTAATCCAGATTTTTCCATGTCTGCTGTTTTGACTCTGGTGTTAGCTCTGAAATCTACTTCCCTCCACACAACTTTACAAACTGCTTTACAAACTGAGCTGCTGCTGCTCAACAGTTACCAAGGAAAACCTCAGACAAGCAAAACAAACCACAGCCACTGCCCATTGCTTGGAACTACAAAACCAAAAAAACCCCCTGACCCTGGTCAGTGCACTGACACTCAGGTGGAAGTTTTCACATTTAACAAGCAGGTGGTTAAATATTATCAGCCCAGAAGTTTAATTCCTTTCAGTGATGACAGTGGGAGGAATTTGCTCTAGACAACTGCACAGTGCAGGGAATGTGAAGTTCCAAGACTAAGAGAAAGGACATCAATGGGATAGTCTATTTTTCCTGGTTTGCAAATCCCTCCCAATGGCAGCCTTGAAACAAAGCCTCTTTTTCAGGTGTGAAAACAGTTTACAAAACAGAATTTTGTCCTCATTTTAACAGGCAGGAAAAATAAGGAATCAACAGTTCTGAAGCATTTTGAAAATTAGAAGTGTAACATACTAGCTGAAAAAGTTTGGATTTTGTTCTGTATAACTCTCCCTCTTACTTGCTAGAAGTACTTTTGGGTAAGGCTTCCCAAAATAACAAAAATAAGTTCCATAACTGCACATATTATCCTGTGTGCAGGTCTTTTTAAGAAAAAACAAAACTGAAAACCAAAACCTCAGACAATTCTGCATTCCTTGGAAAAGAACTACGCTATTTTATTTGGCTGATAACTCAACTTCAAAGATAGTAGAGTCTGTCTGAAAGCATCAGATTTGGTTCTCTGTGAATGCTCTGACCGACAAGGAAAGCCAGTTTATGAGCATACTGGCAAGGAGCAGGAACTCTGATAACACCCTGCAGAAGGGAAAAAAAAAAAAAAAGGGCAATTATTTTCAAGTAATTTAAATAAGCATGCATTCACTGTAACAGACACCCCTGGAATTCCAAAGTATGCATGCATGTTAAGTTTACATTCCCTGTTGTTTATGCTGGTTTCTGAAAATAACATCATATAAGCTGAACACACAAGAAAACCCAAACTTCCCAACTCCATTCCTCTCCTCGCTCCAAAAAAACCCTTTACACAGGTTTACATTCCATACTGGGTCTCACAGAAGATGGGACATGGGTTAAGTCAAGGATAATATTTAGGACTGATAAATGTGAAGCACAGCTCAGGCACGAGCTGACTGTGTGCTCATCTTGGTATGCAACAGAAGCCTCAAGGGAAGTAGAGGAACATAATTCCACCTCCACACAAAGCAGGAAGTATTTCTGCAGGTAAGAAACAGTCACTTCAAGTTTGCTTTTGACACAGAATTTGGGAACAGTAGTCAAAATAACAAGTATTTTCTACTGAGAATAAAGATTAAAGTAATCTTCAGAGAGATCAGGTTAATGATAAAGCATCTAGTTCTCAAACCACCACTCTGGGTCCCAAGGCACACCTGCAGGCATTTTGGATCTGCATGGGTGTTCGAAGGATACCTGTTTCCACCTTTTTGTGTGTTGTAACTGCACAGAGAAGCACAATCTTAAAAGAAAAATATTATCATTTCCCCTAGGAAACACTTACCGACCAGTTATAGTACATGTGGCAGAGTTTGTAGGTCAACCTCTGCAAGTGATCTGGTTTCAGCTGGCTGCCATCATAAATGACGTTGTAATGAGTGGGTGTGACACAACCATTTTTCACTGTGTGGCTCACAACGAAGAAATCATACCTGTAACAGGAAAAGCAAAGGCTGTTAC